TCTATCTATCTATCTATCTATCTATATCATCTATCTATCTATATCTATCTGATTTGATTGCTTATTGTACCCTATGACTATTATTGTATTGTACCTGATGACTCTTGACTCTTGACGAAAGTATCTTTTCTTTTATGTGCACTGAGAGCTTTTGCACCAAGACAAATTCCTTGTGTGTCCGATCACACTTGGCCAATAAAGAATTAATTAATTAATTAATTAATTAACTGTGAGTGCTCCATCACTGGAATGTTTCAAAACAAGACCGGGCACTGAATAACCATTTGTCTGAAATAGTATAGGGCCTCCTGCATAAGCACGGGGTTGGACTAGAAGACCTCCAAGGTCCCTTCCAACTCTTAGTTGTCTCTGTTAGAGACAGGTGTTGGACTCTTCTTCTTCAACCTATTCTCCAAAACCCCTGAAGGCAGGACAAGAAGCAATGGATGGAAACTAATCAAGGAGAGAAGCAACCTAGAAACTTCCTATCAGCGAGGACAATTAACCAGTGGAACAGAAGTTGCCTCCAGAAGTTATGAAGTCTCGAACACTGGAAGTTTTAGAGAAGAGATTGGACAACCATTTGTCTGAAATGCTACATAGGGTTTCCAGCTCGATCAGGGGGTTAACTAGAAGACCTCCAAGGACGCTTCCAGCTCTTATTTTTCTACCTTCTAAACAATATCATTACACAGGTGAGTTTTATGAGTCCATATCTACCTGTCTGTGTCCAGCGCCACCAATGGTTTTTCATCGGGACTTTGATCTAATGAAGAATAGCCTTTATTCGGAACGACCAGCCTGGAATAAATAAATAAATAAATAAGGAACATTATGTTGACTGTCATGGACACCTGGAAAGCTCAAATTCAGAATAAAAGGAGGGGGGGGGGGGGAAAAACAGTGCCTTGAGTTTCAGATTAGGCAAAAGGTAGGCAAAAAAAAAAAGCCTAATAATAAATAAATAAAATAAATATAAAAAATTAAATGTACTACAAAGAAGAAACAAAATGCTTTCTCATACTGCTGTTGTGGTCCACTGGTGACCTGCGGAACTGGCAGCAGAGTCGGACAGTGGGGAGGAACAGGGGCCAGTCCTGGAGTCTGGGGAGGGCTCGGACGAGGGATCTACGTCCGACACAGAGATGGGGCCAGGACCAACTGGGAGTTATGTGCCGACTCCGGAGCCTCCAGAATCTGACATCAGCGAGGCAGAGGAACAGAGGGAGCCTGTTCCCAGTTTGCGCTTGCACAGAGCTGCCAGAAGGCAAGAGCAGTTAAGACAAAAGGGGCAACTCAGGAGTAAGGCTTGGAGGTGATTGGCCCTCCCATAAAACATGAAGAAGGAGCAAAGGGACAGGAATCTTTGCAGGAAGCAACTTTGTTCGTACTGGTCGGTTTAAACTCTGGACATTGTGCTCCGTTTGGCCTTGTACAGCTAATGGGCAATTTAGTCATTGGCAGCATTTCAAGGGAGATAAAGGTGGGTGCTTATCAGCCTTATCCCGAAGGATTGTGGCAGAACTTCTGTTGGACTATTCATAAACTGTTTGTGACTCATTACGGGCTGGGAATGCCTATAATTCAGCCGTTGAAATAAAAACAAAGGTTTTTGGGAACAGCGTGTGATTGTTACTGTCTTGGTCAGAACAACTACAAAGTTAGAGATAATCAGAAGCAAAAGGCTTCTTCGTTGCTACATGACTTACAACCATTCGTTGCTTCGTTGACTTACAACTATTTGCTTAGTGAACATTCCAAGTTACGATGTTACTGAAAAAAAGTGACTTATGACCGTTTTCACACATGTGACCCTCATAGCATCCCCACCATTATGTGATCAAAATTCAGAGGCTTGGCAACTGGCATGTACTTACGACGGTTGCCCAGTCCCAGGGTCATTAACCTTCCCAGGGATTTCTGAGAAGTAGTGGGGGGGAAGCCAGATTTGCTTAACGACACCATGACTCGCTGAACGACCGCAGCGATTTTGCTTGGTAACTGCGGCCAAAAGGCCATAAAGGGAGACACAATGCTTATTGAACAGCTGCTTTGCTTAGTGACAGAAATATTGGACTCGATTGTGATTGTATGTCAAGGACTACTTGTGCAGCACTATGCACAGGTGTGGACAGATTTACCTAGCACAATTTGAGCGGCTCTCACAAGTGTGAGAAAGACCTGTGTTAAGAGTTGTAATGGTTTGCAGTACAGAGAGACCTCAACTTACAACTATTCATTTAGTGAAGATTTAAAGTTATAACAATGCTGAAAAAAATGTGATATATGACCCGTCCTCGCCCTTACGACTGTCACAGAATCCCCATTGTCACTGGATCCAACTTTGGGCAACCAGGAACTGGACTGTATTTATGGCTGCACCAAAGGAGCTTTTTTTTTTTTTTCAGGAGGCAACTGGACTTTCTTGTTCTTTCTTTTGAAGACTTTTCGCTTCTCCTCCAAGAAGCTTCTTCGGCTCTGACTGAATGGTGGGGAAGGAAGGATTGATACTCCTTGCAGACAGCTGGTCATTTGCATCCTTTTAGAGGGTCGTTGAGGCCACTTGGAGGTTTATCTGTGTCCTCAGGGTCACCTGAGTTTATGAGGTTGTTGTTTTGTTCATAAAGGCATGACGTAACACAGGAGAACAAACCCACCAGGACTAGATTCAGCCATCCATCTGCATTTAAAAGATGAAGGCCACTCTTTAGAACAGGGGTCCCCAACCACCGGGCCCTGGACTGGTACCGGTCTGTGGATCATTTTCTACCGGGCCGCTGGTTTGCTGGGCGCCGCCATCTTGTTTCGACAAGAAAGTGCTTCCGGGTGAGCTTTTCTGGTTGGAAAGCGGCATTTGGGTCCTGAAGGAATCCTCGCGCCTTAGTTTCATCGAAGGGGGGGGGGGCGGCTTCGAACGAAGAGCCGTCCCGATGGCGGAGGAGATTAAGAAAGCACAAAAAAGGTACAAAGGAGGAGTTGAAGGTGGTGGGGAGAAGCGGGGGACGGCTGGCTGGCCGGTCGCTCGGCTCGCCTTGCCTTGTCATGCATGCTGATGCCAGTACTGGGGCGCGGATCATTTTGTGATGCCGGTACCGGGCCGCGGCACAAAAAAGGTTGGGGGCCACTGCTTTAGAAGACAACAAAGTCTACATTTTGGAAAGAGAGGATTGCTGGTTTGAGGAGAGGGTCCAAAGAGGTCATCTATGTCCAAATTGAACAGCCCCCTTTCAATAGAGGTGGAGAGATACATCATCTATCTCCCGTCTAGAACACAGTCCTCTTTGCAGTTCCATGAAAGCTCCACACCTGTTTGCATTAAACCTCCAAGTGGCCTCAACGACCCTCTAAAAGGATGCAAATGACCAGCTGTCTGCAAGGAATAAAAATCCGTCCCTTCCCCACCATCCAGTCAGAGCAGAAGAAGCTTCTTGGATGAGAAGTGTAATGCCTTCAAAGTAAAAACCAGAAAGTCCAGTTATGCCTCTTGAAAAAAAGGCACCTTTGGGACACCTCACTTAGCAGTGGAAATTCTGTTCCCGATTGCGATCGTCAGTCCAAGACCACAGACAAGACAGCTGGTCGTTTGCATTCTTCCAGAGTGTCGCTGACCTTGGCACACAGCAATGGATGTTAAGTGTGAACCGGATGCCAAGTCTCTGAATTTTTATCACGTGGGCTGCTAGAAAGATGGTGTCAACTCCTAAAATATTTCTATGGTCTTTTCGGAGTTGCCAACAGAAAGGGAAGGGGGGAGCAGTGCGGCAGCTTGCGAACCGAAAGTGCATTCCATAAATGTTTTCAAAGATAGTTACTAGGAGACTGAAGCTTCTGCCCCGCAAATATCTAACTGGAGAGCCTGATTGATGACTCTGGGCTATGGAGGTGTCCCATTGGAGAATATGAATTACAATACACCCACGGGGTGGGGGAAAACCAGGGTCAAGGGTGACAATGAATGATGTGTCTCAGAGTCGGCTACACCCAGGCAGTGCCAGCATGTTAACTCCCAATAAATCCTTTTTTAAGTTTTGGAAGTTTGGCTCGAGGCTCGTGATTTAAATGGGGGTCACTGCCGGAATCTTGATAGTAAGCTTGAAAAACAGGTCATAAGTCATGTTTTTCGGTGCTGTTGTAACTTCGAACGGTCCCTAAAAATGAACTATGGTTGTAAGTTGAGGACTTCCTGTAAAAAGGAACTGACAAGGGCTTCGTGTCCTTGACTTTCAGCCTGTCATCATCCTCCCACTTAAACACCAACTGGGGACAAATACAAGCTGAAAACAGGCTGGCATGCGTGTCAAAATGGATTAGGCAAGTCTAATAAATTCATTTATTTAGAGAGCGCATAAGACTGGCGCAATTTTTTTTTTTTTACATTAGGCTGTTTGCCTTTTAACATGATTTGATTTGATTTATTGTTTGCTTCCGTTAAATGCAACCCCGAGTCACTTTATTTTGAATTGGGTGGCTCTAACCATGCAGGAAACAAACATTAAATAGAATATAATCTTGGCGCCATCCTGCTGACAGCAGCACACAATGCCTAAGCCTCATTTGCAAGGCAAATTGCACAGCCTTCGGAAGGGTCGGGGGGGGGGGGGGGGAAACATGAATAATATATGATTATTTGTGGCTAGCTTCTTCTGAATTTTATTTGGGGGAACGGGTCAGAATTGTAGAGACAATGAATTTGGGAGGGACGATATTCCTGGGTTCGCTCCGGGTCATGTATGAATAATAAGTTGACTGAAGTGGAAGGAGTGGATTAGCACAAAGAATCACTCCAAAATATATTGTGAGAATGGAGCTGGGTTTAGGAGAGGTTTCTCTGGATCCTGGCTTCTTCCTCGGAGTCCTTAGTGCTCTCTGAGCTTGGTGGTTTACTTGCAGACATTTCATGCCCCAAACTAAGTAACATTATCAGTGCTAGAAGGAAATGGGGTTGGAGGAGGAGGAGGAGGAGGAGGAGGAGGAGGAGGAGGAGGAGGAGGAGGAGGAGGAGGAGGAGGAAGAGAATAATTGTGGGGTCCTCGGTTGTTTTCTTGCAGACATTTCATATCCCAAACTAAGTAACATCATCAGTGCTAGAAGGGAGTGGGATTTGTACTGATGATGTTACCTAGTTGGGTAATGAAATGTCTACAAGAAAACAATCAACCTGAGAATACAGGGACCTGACATTTCAACGCTTGGGCGGGGGGTTGGACTAGATGACCTACAAGATCCCTTCCAACTCTGATTATCTGTTATCTGTTAACCCTGAGCTACAAACATTACCTTCTATCCAAACTACTTATATCTAACTGGAATGCAGTTTTGGTTTGCAAGCTGCCGCACTACTCCCCCCTCCCTTTCTGTTGACAACTCTAAAAAGGCCATAGAAATATGTCATGAGTTGACATTCGGCTCCCCTCACTTCTTAAAGCTGCCATGTTTGAGAAACACTGCTATAGATCAGTGTTCCCCAGATTTTCCAGGTTGGTGGCCCAGAGGGGGAAAGAGGGAATAGCTTTGTGGGAGGGGGAGACCTCATGGCTTGCATGAGTGGGGTCCCAAGTGCCCTAACACCCCCCCCCCCCGATGTTCATGTGTGTTGGGCTATGCACAGACATGCACGCACCAACTAGCCTCACACAGCCAGGTTGTGAATAGGCCGCACACCAGTAGTGGGCTAGTGCCCACAAATTGGGGACCCTTGCTTGTAGACACACCAAGATTCTCATGTGGAAGGAGCACCTACCTTGTCCGAGCCATGACGTTGGTCTTCTTGGGTTGTTGATTAACTGGACTCCCCATGGTGCCGTTTTTCAGGGACCCCTTCCGAGCCAGCTCTCGCTGTTTCTCTGCAGGACAAAGGCAGACAGACATGGAGGAAGAGAATTAGGCAAGGCAGCCTCTCCTTCGGAAGCCAACTGCAGGGCAATGTGAGCCAGAGTTCGCCCTGCAAACACAATTATCTGCAAGGGAACAACGTCAAGTCTTTGGGGTTATAACCAATATATAACCAATAATAACAAACTAATAACAAATAATTACGCTGTTTTCCTTAAAAATAAGACCTATCCCAAAAATAAGACCTAGCATGGTTTTTAAGTGTACCTATATAAGCCCTACCCCCCCCCCCCAAATAAGCCCTACTTAAGAGCCTGCGCAGCCGGCCGGCTGCCAATTCCGTCTGGTTGCTTGTGGTGCCATGGCCACAAGGTGAGGCAGGGGGTGGTGGAGCTGCCCCAAACACCCCGACTTAGCTCAGGGTCCCTGCAGACAGGTCATCCATGCCCCGACACTTGCTTCGTGGTGGCAGCACTAGCAGCCACGTGCAGCAGAGGGCCATGTGGCCGCTGGTCCACTTCTTCTGCTGGCTCTTGGATGCAACGAAGGAGGTCGAGTGGTGTGCTGGTCCCATGACCGCAAGGTGAGACAGGTGTCAGGGCGTGGGTGGCCCGGCTGCGGGGGCCCTGAGGCAAGCTGGTGTGGGGGCACGTGGGGCAGCTCAAATCCTCGGCCTTGCGGCAGAAGTACTAACACACTGTGTGGCCTCCTGCACTGCCACAAGCAAATAGAAGAAGCGGGTCGCCTGTACATGGGGAAAAAAAATAAGACACACCCTGAAAATAAGCCCTAGTGCTTATTTTAGGACCCAAAAGAAAATAAGACCCGGTCTTATTTTTGGAGAAACATATGTATTTGTGACATAAACTAGGATGGTGTGATGACCCGGGAGGTGGCACAAAGGCAACGCAGTCAGATAATCAGCAGGTGTCCATTCATTAGCTCCACCTTTGCCCCAAGGTCCTGGTTACCTTCTGGGCCGGAGAAAAACTCTCCCAGGAACAGCCTTTGGCTGCAGAGAATCAAGTCCAAAACAAGGTCAACAAAAACTGTAACTATAAGTCCAATCAAGGCAAAATAAGGTAATTAGTCCGGCAGGGCAAGAAAAGGAATTCCAGACATGAATAACTCCACACAGTTGGGAAGACACCAGGAACACAGATAACCAAAGTCAACACAGGATAAAGCAGGGGTGGGATTCTACCAGTTCACACCTATTCGCTAGAACCGGTCGTTAACATTCGAAGCAGTTTGGAGAACCGGTTGTGAGAAGAAATTCCTGGCCTAATCCTGTAAGGAAGGCAGGAAGGAAACATTCTGGTGTTGCTTACAGAAACTGCCTCTCCGTGAACCCTTATTACATTCTTGGCAGGACTAGACTTCCTGTCTCAGGAACTTCTCTGGAGTTGTTTTTCCCCTCCTTTGCTGGTACTTTGCTTGTGTGGAGTGACCATTCAAAGTTACAATGGCACTGAAAAAAGTGACTTATGACCTTTTTTCACACTTACGACTGTTGCAGCATCCCCACAGTCATGAGAGGCCAGGCGAGAAGATGGTGCCTTGATGTGAGTGATATTGAGTTGGCCACACCCAGCCAATAACATGACCACCAGGCCACGCCCACCCAGTCACAGGACCACCAAACCACGCCCACCAACTAAGCCATGCCCACAGAACCAGTTGTTAAAAAAATTGAATCCCACTCCTGTGATAAAGTCACATTTGCTCCCAGCAACTGCCGCACGCAGCCTGCATTTCTTATAAACTTTCTTCCCAGGTGTGCCTTGTGAAGGGAATCAGGGCCCCTTCCTCCACCATAAGACATGCAACCCACGTTGCTCTCTTCTCCATTCCTCCCTGCATGCCGAGGATGAAGGAGTGGGCCTGGGTCTTCCTCTGAACTCCCTCTTCCTTGTTCTACCTCTCCCCTGCTCTGTCCAGCCGGACTGTGCCCTTCCCCACTTTCCTCCACAGCCAACGGAGCCACTCTCCCACTCCCTGTTGGCTGTTTGTCTTCCTCCTTGGATTCAGACTCCGACATGGGGCATGACAGATGGGCAGCTTCTGTACCAGAAGGAGCTCGAACTGCACAGCCAAAAGGGTATTCCAGGATGTGTGGAGCAAACAGAGGTAAGCAAAAATGGCATCATGATGTCACTACGGGCACATCTAACTTTTCTATTGCAGCTGGTCCTCGAGATACGACCACAACTGAGCCCAACATTTCTGTTGGTTAAGTGAGTTTTGTCCCCTTTTTACGACCATTCTTGCCACAGTTGCTAAGTGAATCACTGCAGGGGTTAAATTCGTTAGCCACACGTTTGTTAAGTGAACCTGGCTTCCCCACGGATTCTGCTTTGTCAGAAGGTCACAGAAGGGGATTGCAGGAGGCCGGGACACTGTAACCATCATAAGTATGAGTCAGTTTGCCAAGCGTTTGAATTTTGATCACTTAACCCTGGGGCACGGTGCAACGGTCGTTAAGTGTGGAAAAATTAATATTGCGTGGTAGGAAAACAAACATGTGGAACCTGACAGATTTAAAAACAAGATATGCTAATAGATAGGGGAGTATAGTATTTCTAGAATGATATAATACCGTGATGGCGAACCTATGGCGTGTGTGCCACAGGTGGCACGCAGAGCCATTTGTGCAGGCATGCGAGTCCCGGCCAAACTTACCTGCACTGCGCATGTGTGCGCCTCCCAGCTGATTTTTGGCCCGTTTGAGGCCGTTTTCGCCCTCCCGGAGGCTCAAGGGAAGCCTCTGCAGCCTTGGGAGGCTGAAAAACGGGCCTCCTGGAAATACCATAAGTGCTGAAATGGACCCATTTTTCAGCCTCTTGAGGCTGCAGAGGCTTCTCTTGAGCCTCCGGGAGGGCGAAAGTACAAATAATTTATTAGAAGTTAACATGCTGGTATTTGCCTGGGTGTAGCCGACTCTGAGATACGTAATTCACTGTCACCCTTGATCCTGCTTCCCCACCCCCACCCCTCTGAGTGTATCATCCAACGAAACACGTCCAGAGTCCAGAGTCATCAATCATGCTCTCCAATTAGATTTTTGCGCGGCAGAAGCTTCAGTCATCTAATCAGCCTCTGAAGAAAATATGAATGGAATGTACTTTCGATTCCACACTGCCGCCTGCTCTTTGAAACTCCCCCCACTTCTTTCCGTTGTCAACTATAAAACGTGTATACAAAATGTTTTATGAGTTGAGGTCATGTTTGTTTTAAAATGAAAAATGAGCTGGAACCACACTGTTCACACAATGACGTGTATATAGAAACAAAAATAAAAAATAAAAAATGTATTTTAAAAAAAAAGTGTGAAAAAAATGCCATCAGTTATCTAGCCCTGATGATGTAATCTAGTTTGGATAATGAAACGTCTGCAAGGAAACCACCCAGGAGCCCTTAAGTTGCTTTTTTTCAATGCCACTGTAACTTCAAACGGTCACTAAATGAGTCAAGGTCCATCTGTAGGGGGAGGTTGAGCTTTTTGTATTACACAATATATTACAAGATTGATGGTTGTTGGCTGCCCAGGTTCAGACTGTCTCTAATCTTTTCGAAAGATAAATAAAAGGAAGCAAACAGAAGGGGACTAAAAATTAATTAGCAAGCTGCTGGTTCTCCCCCTTGCAGTAATAGACCTAAAATCCCTGTAAATTTGAAAAGCCTGGAGTTGCGGTTCGATGAGGATAATGTCCTCTTCCAGCCAATCCATCCATAAGGAAGAAGGAAAAAAAGGAAAGAGAAACAGTAGAAGTAAAATCACTTTCTGAAAGGCCGATTGATCTCGCTGCGTTCCTGGAGCAGGCACGAAAGGCCCTTTCTCGTCTGTCTGAAGAAGCAGCGGATCGATCGATCGACAGGTAGGAAAATGACCTGGATCCATTCATCTTCCTCACTTCACTTATCGAAAGGAGCCCAACGAAGACAGGAGCCTTTGGTTTTTCTACCTTTGGAGAACCGTTAAAAAGTCCTTAAAAATGTTTTTTTTTGTTCCATAGAGCATCAACCTTGTGAACTGTCAAGTTTACTCTTTCTACTATGTATTCAAAATGAAGTCATTTTTATTTATATATATATTATAATGTAACATATTACACACACACACACACACACACTGTGTCCCCAAAGAAAACACTGGCTCTTATATTAATTTTTGCTCCAAAAGAGGCATTAGGGTGTGTTTTCTGGTTAGGTCATATTTTGGGGGAAATACGATACTAAATGCATCCGTCTGGCTGACTATTTTAACTGGGGTTTATTTTGGGGTAGGGCTTATATTACAAGCATCCTGAAAAATCATACTGCGGCTTATTTTCTGGCTGGGCCTTATTTTTGGGGAAACACATACACACACATATATGGTGCAGGTATAAATTTATGTATGTCTACCGCCTGCGTATATGTGTGTTATATATGCATTTGGGTAGATAGATATACACATTATTTTGAGAGCAGGCAACGGAATTTCATTTTTAATGTGAGCCAGTGAGCTCACCATAAAGAAATGACATTAAAGTTATAAAGTTATCTTAAAGTTAAAGTTAGTTTTTAAAAAATGGTCTGCAACCTGCATCTGGTCACTAGGAGATGTGGCAACTGCACCACTCATGGTTTTAATTCTGAAGAAGCTACAGCAGCGTCCTCTGGTTATCTCAGCCGCACTTTGAGGGCAAAACAACAATACAACAATAACCCAGAGCGGAGAACATGACGCTCCTAAGGTTTCATCCAGTCAGGCCATACAAAGAGTCCTAAACACACAGCAGTTTGTTTAGTGACCATTTGAAGGTACAATGGAACAAAAAGGGACTTACAGTACCATCATTTTTCACACAACCACAGCAGCCTCCTCATGATCACGTGATTACAATCCAAACACTTGGCAACTGACTCATATACAACATATGACGGTTGTGATGTCCCGGGGACATGGGATCACCACAGTTAATGGGGAAGCCCCAAAGGTGCTTTTTTCTCAAGAGGCATAACTG